TATATATATATAAATAAGAAAGTATTTTTTAATTATTATTATCTTTTATTTATTTTTATTTTTATTATTATTATTATTATTATTAAAATTATTATTAAAAAGCATTATTAATTCTGACGAAAATTTTTATATGTGTATATATATACATACATACATACATATATATATATATATATGTATGTATATTCTTTTCTATTTGCTAAATTTGATATCTGTTGAAGCCTTTAATCGGGAATTAGAAAAACAAACGAAGATAATCGTGTTATTTTGTGTCTTTCATAAAAAATATGAGGAGTTTCTTTTCTCCTTCTTTAGTGTATCTATATTATCGTAGTAATTCACATCTTTAGACTCATTAACAAATAACGTAAATCTCATGATTAATTAAAAGCTAAACGCATATTCCTAATCATGATATTTACATAATCATTTCTTATATCACTTCATATCTACATGACAAAATTTCGAAACACACACACACAAACACATATATATATATATATATATATATATATATGCATTTAGATGTGTATGTGTGTGTGTGTGTAAATACATATATACATATATGCATATATTTATTTTAAAATTACACAGAAATACTTCATAACCGTGGATATTATATATTGAAAATAGTTATGCAAAGCAAAACGTGTCATATCTCCTTACATTTATACAGCGAGTTCACACCTTCAAATACAATCTTTATAAAAGAATACGTTGCCAACTTGCTTTTATCATATTAAATTAATATGACGTATATATGTGTATTTGAATTGTTTCTTTCTTTTTCTTACTTCGTTTTTTTTTTCTTTTTTTTTACTTTTTTTGTCGTTTTTTTTTCTTTTTGTTATTTTTTTTACGGAAATCATTCTCTGCATTTACACTTACCAATTAGAAAATGAAAGATTTTTTGTTTGTTTTTTTTTTCGTTTTGTTTTTTGTTTTTTTTCCTTCCCCTTTGAGAAAGAAAAGAAAAGAAAAAAAGATTTCATCCTGGAAAATTTGAATCAGATTTGATAGGATTAAAAAAATCGTTGATTACAACATTTGACCTTTGAAATTTTATACTTTGTGCATTAGCATTTAATATTAATAAAAAGGTACTATGTGTTTCTCGCCATATAATATATATATATATATACATATACATATATATATATATATACATACAGATGCTGCGTCGGCGATAGATAAATTATTTACTATTATACATCTCTCTCACAATTATTACATTTTATCGTATTTGTACCATTCTTCAGCAATAAGGAATCTCTCTTTTTGTTTTTATTAATCTTTTTTTTTTTTTCTTGTTCCTCTTCATTATATTACAAACAGAAAGTCCGCACTTAACGGACTAAAGCTACGTAAATGACTCTGTTTTAAAGCTAAATCTATATATACATATTATATTGTTAACATGTAATCTCTCAGTAGCAGCAATTAATATTAATGCAATAAGAAAGATGTTATTTATTTATTTTTTTTTTTGTTTCTTTTACGTTCCAATTTTTTCTTTTTTTTCTTTTTTTCTTTTTTTCTTTTCTTCTTTTTATTTTATTTTCTTTTTCTTTTCTTTTCTTTTTAATGTCACAGCTAGCTTTGCATATTTCATTACTCGCTTAAAACCTTAAGCAAGAATGAAATTCAATTTGTGATAGAATATATTTCATATCATCGAACATGATAGCATGATTACTTTCATAAATTACAATTACAATTACAATTACAAATTACTGGTGTCTTCGTAATGTTTCCATATGATTTTTAAAGATCTGACATACACGTTTGTCTCTATAGTCTTTTTCCTTATTGTCAAGTATGGTAACAAATAATATTTAAATAAAATAAACAAGAATATATATATATATATATATATATATATATATATATATATATATATGTACAGCATTTAGTTTAAAAAGGAAAAAAAAAAGAAAGAAAGAAGAAAGAAAAAAGAACACAAAATTTCATATGGAAGAATCGATAGAACAATATGTATAGTGACTAAGAAGGCAGTATTATAAAATATTCTCTTAAGACAATTTTTGAATTTAAAAGTGGTAGACTTGTTATGATAAATATACATACACATATACCAATATGTGTATACGCCTATATATGTACATATTATATACCCTCAACCCAATTCTACATTGGATAAAAATGTTGCTATTATCGTTACATTTATAATTAATGTAATAGTGCAATATTAATATTCTTTGCTATAGATGACAGCCATGGGATATCATTTTCAATAAACTTTATAACATAAAATAGATGCAATGTTTCAAGAAAAAAGCAAATAAAATTTTTATACGCTCTCTTTCCCTCCATCCCTTTCTCTCTCTCTCTCTCTCTCTTTCTTCTTTCTATTTGATTTTCATGCATTAATTAAGTCAAACTCATGTTATCATTACACATTTAAGACTTAGTTAATGAAATAAATCTTGACTTAGAATTGGAAAATGAAGATAACTTTTTTCTTGATAATTGATCAATTGGCTGCAATCCAGCCATTAGCTACCAAATAATGAAGTATCTTACTCTCTGGTTCCGACTGAGGTATAATCCCTGATTTTCTATTACCACTGAGATATTCCTGTAACGATATATTTTTTTTTCTAGAATAAAATAAACGAAAAGAAAAAAGAAGAAGAAAAATAAAAAAGGAAAGAAAAAAAAAAAGAAAAAAAAATAGGAAATACAAAAAACTATACCTATACTATATTGAAAAGGTATATAAACTCACTTGTAACAACAACGTCTTTTGTGTTAAATACTGCATCGGCTTCAAGTCTAACTGAAGACATAATGATTTTTCTTGTTTCGTTAAAAGATGTGCAGATGCCTCCATTTCTATATCCCGTTCTCCTGTTTCTCCCAAATGTGAGAGTGCTTTCGACGAAGATGATGCTACAAAGCAATTTTTTTCTACAGTAGAATTGGAACTTGTAGAATGTTGACTGGAAGTATTCGGATTGCTATCCTGCTCCACCCACTGATTGGCTGGAATCATCGTCCGATTGGGATTGATTTGATTGATTGTGGAGCTGCTGCTGGCTGTGTCTAGCTTTACAGTGGACTTTCGGTCGGTGGAAGAGTAATTTTTTTCTTCTTCTCTAGAATGAAGAAATGGACTGTAAACTAGAATAAGTTATCTTGACAAATTTATATTATATATAGATATAATATATATATATATATATATATATATATATATACATATATATATATTAAAAAAATTTTCAATGTATCATCTTACCTTTTTTTTGAGGTGTGGCGGTGTATTGGTGTGGACGGCCCACTGCTGCCCTAAGTGAAATGCAAACTGATACAATCTGTTCACAAATGCCTGGCAACACGCACCACAAACAATAGAATTAGTTAAGAGGAAGAAAAAGCTAGTACATACAGTATAATTAAAGCTCTGAACGTTGTTTTACATTCCCTCTGTATGGATTTGCATGAACAAAGAGTGTCAACAAGAAACTAAAGCTGAAATATTAATTGCTTATCCGAAGATTCGTGTAATATTAGTAGAGATAATATATACATTTAGAAAATTCCTTTTGTATTTTTTACATGTGAATAATCAATTGAGGGCTACGTAGTATCTTTTTTTTTTTTTTTATTTTTTTTACGTAGACACATTGACAGATTTTTGTTAAGAATGGCTCAATGTAATAGAATAATGAGAATCATTGACTATTAGGTTTGGTTCTCGAGAACACATAGTGCCATGTAATCGAAATCATGTAAGTGTTAATAGCATACGTTTGTTCGGTGGAAAAAAATTGGAAGAAAAAAGAAAAAAAAAAAAATATGGTGATGTTATAAAACTATTTGTGAAATTACTAACTATTCGACATATATTTTATGTATTATAAAGAAAACAAAAAAAAATAATAATAAATAAATGTAAACAAATACTTACAGATTTTTTCTCTGTCCAGTGATCGGCGGTATCATTTTGTCCCTGAGCCTGTGCCATAACTTGTTCAAAATGTGCACATTCCTCGTGTCTAGCTATCCCATGCTCCCGATAACGATAAAGTTCCGAAAGTCGTAACCGAAGTTCTCTTTCTCTTTCAAGATTCGTTAGGAACTGTTCATATTCCTGTGCAGTATAAAATTGTGCAAAAGTCCTCATTCTGTCCCTAAATTCTCTAAATGATAATAAAAAAAAAAAAAGAAAAAAAAAAAAAAAGAAGTATATTTAAGTATATACATATATATATATATTTTTTTATCACATATAACTATAGCAAAAGATGTATTACTTAATATACATTCATACTTTTCTTCCTTCGTTTGTCTCTTCTTTACTCCTCTATCTTTTCTAGATGATGCAAAGAAAGCGGACACAAGTTGATAATCTCGTACGACACGTTTTCTTCTAGCTCTTTCTCTTAAATTATTAGTATACATATCAACTTGTGCTAGCTTAAGTGCTATGTCGAGATCATCATCTTCTGCTGGATTCAAAAATAATGATGAAACAAGAGACTCTGCTTCATGATTATAATCCTAAAATATTTCAATTATTATTATTATTATTATTATTATTATTATTATTATTATTATTATTAATATATTACACAGGTAAAAAGTATAAAGAAAGTATTTTAATGTTAAACTTACTCTTTCAAAATCATCTCGTTGAGGCATATACCCCAATTGAGCAGCTTCCTCCGGTGTTATATCGAGCGGAGGTAATCGGGATGTGAGATCAGGGGATAATGGTCCATTATCTGACTTAGTTTGATCCGTAAGATTTGGCGTATAGCTTTCTGTAGGTGGCCATGTATGTTTTCCAATATTACCATCCAAATACCTAGCAATATATTCTTCTTTCGCTTCTGTAATATCATGTTATTGAACATGTAACTACATAGTATTACATTATATATAATAAAAGAATAAATCTTTCGAATAATTTCAATGTACCTTCCGGTGTCCTAGTTTCGATATGTTTACTGATATCCTCCCAATTTCCAAAGCCAAATTGTTCAATGGCATCCAAAAGTCTAAGTTGTTCTCTGGCAGTCCAATTGCCTCGTCCATTAAATATACTAATGGTACCAGAATCCTATATGCATGAAATATAATTGATGTAAAATATAAAAAATAAAAGTTACGTCTAAGAATTACAGGAAAAAGAAAAAAGGAAAAAAAGGAAAAAAAAAGAAAAATTATGACAATACATTTACACAAACGAATACTCACCATAAATTGATAAGAGTGATCATTTTTGTGTTGACCAATTTCAGCTCCAGCGGAAAAGCACTGTTAATATATTAAAATTATTTAAATCATTAATATTTTCATACTGATTCTAATCGTGATAATATTAAAAATTTCGTATCTACGAATCAGTAAAAAAAATTATAAAACGAGAAAAAAGAAAATAAGAAAAAAAAAAAAGAAATAAAGAAATAAGGAAAGAAAACAAAACAAAACAAAAAAGAAAACTGTATTAACGTTTCTCACCGAACTCTGTAATAAGAGCTTGTCTGTCTTATTTATTATTGTACACGACTATATATATGATATAAGAGCTAACTGATCAACAGCTGATCTCAATAACATTCGTGAGAATCGATGGAAGCTTCAACACGCAAAATCCGACAAGAGAAAGACAAGGAAAGAAAATAATAACGGAATGAAGAGAAAGAAGAGAGAGAGAGAGAGAGAGAGAGAGAGAGAGAGAGAGAGAGAGAGAGAGAGAGAGAGAGAGAGAGAGAGAGAGAGGGGATAAGGGTGATAAGGAGGTGAGGAGGAGGAGGAGGAGGGTGAGGGACGACGACGAGCACGTGACAAGGAACAGGCGTTCCCGTTCGACTCACCTGCAAACAGAGGTCGAAATCTGGGCATTCGACGCATTTAACACGCAGACCCGTGATGTCTTCTTGACAATACGTACAGTTGTATTTCGCATACAAATCTATAAACGACATAACGCTAATAAACAATAATCTCGTACAGCGTTAACGTAATCCGGAAGAGGAACTAGTGTCTCTTCTTGCCCAACCCAAAATACGTACCCGCCATTATTGTCCTGCAGGGCTCTTCCAGAACGATCCGGATGACGTCACCGCATTCCGAGGAGCCATAAATGTATAATAAATCATGGGTACAATTCGTACCCGTACGATCTCATATTTTCTGCGAAATATTTCGAAAACGCAGAAAAAAGTGTCATCCACTAACCCGATTAATCCCCCCCCGTTACTTTCCTATACGTAAACTAGCGAGGGTTCTGGATTGAAAAAAAATGTTGTTTACGACTATTCCGTTGAGAAGGAAATGCGCATGCGTCCTACTCTTTCCGCCATCTAGATTCCGCTAATGTTGCTGGTATTCGCAGTGCTACCAACGGAAATAAAACAAACGAACCTGTTACAGAAATATACGTAATCTTTAAAACATTTTCTCGTTTGTAAAGCCTGTCGTATGAATTAAAAAAAGAAAAAAGAAAAAAGAAAAGAGAGAAAAAAAAAAGAATAAACAAAACAAAAAGAAAAAATAATGAAAAAAAATTGATCAGCGTTTTTATTTATATTACAAAATTAATATACTCTCTGTTCAATATAGTAAATGTATGAAAAAGTTTTTCGAAATCAGTTAGTATAGTAACCCCATCGACAGTTGGCGCCCCTGTCGACACTTCTTGAAAAATCATGATCAACGTAATTTATGTGTCCTCTGTATAAAAGAATTTTATAAAATCTTATTAAATTAAAGTAAATGAAATGTATAATACGCTATCATTTAATTTATTACTTATGTGTAATTGTATATTTTTCCAATGAAATTTTCCATTCCCGTTAATATCGTATTTTCATAAAAAATGTTTCTGAACGAATAAGTTTATCATGCAATTCGAAAATATGGTTCTTTATATATATATATATATTTTCTTTGCCTTTATCAAATTTGTTTAAATGTAGAACATAGAAATTGATTCTTTTTTTTTTCAAGTTGCATGCAAATAAGAAATAATTATGGGCACCATATTGTTAATTATTAAATATTGCTTGCCAATTATAACGTAAAAAAAATCGATATCTATATATCGGTGAGTTAATATAAATCATCGAAACGATGGGTAATAGTCTAATCATTTTTGTCATTTCTTTTGAATAATATTTATCGTTTAATATTAACATTTATTGAATTTGCCCTATGCCTACATAAGAATTGAAAATTAATTTTGAAACTTTATTTATGTTCTCTTTAATATTTAAGTTCATATTAATATCACACATAAAGATGAAATTAGAAATCAAACACTTGATAACAACGGATATTATTTGTATTCGAATTAAAACGATCATTATTGCAACTCAGCCGATAAAAATAAATGTGCAAAATTAAAACTCTACCGAGTCGTGGTATAAATTTTTTTTCATTGGTTCGAAAAATTGTGTTCATTGTTATCATTATTATTATTATCATTATTATTATTATTATCATCATTATTATTATTACCATTATTATTAATAAGTAATATTATTCTTAAGGCTAGCAGAAAAAAAAAAAAGAAAAAAAAGAAAAAAACAAAAGAGATATTTTTTAGCATACACATATAAATACTTTTCTCTTTCAATTGAACTATTACAATAATAATATAAAAGTGACTACAATTTTTGTTTACAATTATACAGAAATACCATGGGGTATATTTTAAAAACAGTAATTAATAATCCATTGGATATCTCTAGGAATTGTTCAACGACGAGCGGAACATAGCGAGAATATTAGTTATACACACACATACACACACATATACACAAGAAAAATTTGCAAGCATAATTAATTAGCTTTGCATAACAGGAATCGATATATTTCAAATCTAAAATAATTTATAATATTAATCTTCCAAAAACTCTCTTAACAAATTCATTTTCCTCTTATCTGTTGTAAATAGTGTAACTTTTAGAAAAGCGTTTAATTAATCATCAAACGAATGGTCCAGTCCAATGTCTGACATGTGTTGTCGTTGTTGGCGTCGCTGTCGTTGTTGTCGTTGCCGTTGACGTTGACGTTGACGTTGACGTTGCCGTTGCCGTCACCATCGCTGTAGTCGTCGTTGTTGTCGTCGTCATCGTCATCGTCATTGTCGTCGTCATCGTCGTCGTCGTATTAGTATTATACGTCGAGGCATTATGTTTTTCTAAAAACGCCGTAGCTTTTATTTTGTTCTTATATTTAACATCCTTAGGTTTAAGCATACTTTTATGATTACTCAATAATCTCGAGGGTGTTAATATGGATTTGTTGCTCAGACCCGTTGCTTCTAAGAAATTGTCGTAACCAGTATTCGCATTATTCGTAGCAGTCGTAAGATGATTATTATTGTCTTTGGTCAGTGCGTTATTAGTTTCATTTTGACTAACTGGTACTACGAGATGATTATTACTAAGTCGTTCCGAACCATCGGCTTCTGGCCGATTTGGATCATCCGAAAGATCGCATTCGTCGAGGTTAAATTCCTCAAAGTTTTGTCTTATGTCGAATTCTTGACCGAATTCCGTACGAACGTATCTCTCCTTCGGTTTGTTACGTTCCTTAGATCGTTCCTCATTTTCTCCACCAATTTTAAATTCCTCAAAGTGCCGTACTATGTTCGTAACCCTTGGAATTTTACGTGATCGATGGACGACATTCTTTTCGTTGGAATGTCGTGATTGAAAGGACGAACGAACGTTATTGAATCGATTTTTCCAAAAATTACCATCCTCGTTGTTTCCAACATTTTTCGTAGACGTTTCGTCGAAATTTAAATTTTTAACAGAGGTCTTTGTTATCGTCGATGAAGATTCAATCGGTGAACCAATAAGAGTGAAGATCTTTTTCCCATGTGCAGCAGCAGAACTGACCTCTGACAATTTCTTTCTCGTTTCGTCAATCAAAAACGACGGGCTTGGTATTTTCTTTAATATCAAGGTATTATTACGAAATTGTGGCTTCGGTGGTAAAGCTGGTGGAGTTTTAGGCGATGGCAATATAACTTCCGGTAAGGACTCGATGTCCTCGTAATCAAGATTCTTAGCTATGGTCAAACGTTTCGTCGACATTTGCAAACACGTCTTCTCTTCGATTCTTTCCATTCTAAGCGGTGGACTAACCGATTGAATAGGTATTTTTGGCTTTTGAGTTGACGAGGCAAGGCCTGAATTTTTTATTTCCTCTGGCTCTACCTTTGGCTCTATAATTACGATCGGTATAACTTTTGGTTCTTCAGGGTCATCCTCGAGAACAGATTCTACGGTAGAATTAACAACTTCGTTTGGATCAACCGGATGAGTTATTCTCATGCCATATTCATCCTCGGAAGCTGTGGCCTCGAAACTGGCGACGTTCATCGATCTTTGATCACTAAAATCACCACTTAATGTCTCCTTTTCCATCAATCCTTCTTCAGAATTTTTCCTTTCCATTTCTGAACCAACCGATTCGATATCCGATAATCTAGCCGGTTGAAATCTCACTGTCCTACCTCTGTGTTTAAATCTCCTTGGTACCGATAATACACGATCCTCGTCTTCCATATCCCTCAAAAGTATTTGATTGACACATTCAAGGACGGAATTATGATTACTGTTCGATCGATATGAAGTATGCCTGAATACGTCGTCGTTAGTTTTATCTTCGTCAGGATCACTATACCAATTACCACTAGTCTCTTCTGTATTCTGTTCATCCGTCGTCTCGGCTTCGATCGAGCTGCAAGATAAACGAAAAGGATCAAGAATAAATTATGATATATCAATGATACATCGACCTCATATATCATTATTTCTCGTTAAATACTTACGTATCGTTATTGTTATTTGTATAATCCTGAGAAATTTCAGGGACGACTCTACCATTCGAATGTTCCAAATTTTTCACATTGTTCTCATTGAAGGAATTAACGTATATCGGTTCCTGTTCCTTCTCTTCGTCCTCCGAAACAAAATTACAATCCATACCGTCGTCCTTGCTTTCCGTTCTTATAATATTCGTACCAACGATCGAACCTTTCATCGAAACTTTTTGGGATTTCGATCTACCTAAAGAAGTTTTCCTCTTCGTCGAACTAAACGCAACCTCACCGACCAATAACGTTTCTCTCTCTTTATCGTCATTGATATTATCGTTATATTCGTCATCCTCGTCTTCTCTCTCGTCGTCATCCAACTCGTTGTTATCCTCATCGAATATCATAGTCGTCTCATTTTCACTATCCGTTACTGTTGTTGGTGTACATCTATTCGATTTGTTCAAGGTCGAACCCGGCGATACATCCGTACTCTCACCCTCGCAAAATCCTTCCGTACTGATCAACGATGGACTCCCCTCCGTTGTAGTAGTAACGATAGATACATCAGTATTTTCGCTACTTGTCATACTCGTCTTCGAGACATCACTACCCGCAAAACTATACGTCTTCTTTATCCCACGATCCAAGTTTTCCAAAGCTACTGGTATTACCTCCGAAGAATCGAGTTTCGTAATAATTTCACACTTGAGATTCTCGATCTCTTTACTGAGATCATCGTCGTCTTGTCTCGAGTCGATTTCATTCTAAACATTTTCAAAGAAATAAATTATTCCTTTTTATATATATATATATTTTTTTTTTCTTTTTAAATTGTATACTCTTGAATATTATCGAAATCAAATTTATACAGGTCGGTGGCAACAATTTTTTACATCTTATATTAAAAATCAATTGCTTTGTTCTCGAGATTTGTTTTTCCCCTGTCTTTTTTTTTTTTTTTTTTTTAAATTGTAAAACTACGAACTTAGAAGCTACTACTTTTTTTTTACAAGCTGAAAAAAAAAGAAATTAGTCCTTTTCAAAAATAAATGTCTCGAAAAATAGCGATCCTTTTTTTTTCTTTGGCTCAATTTTTGACACAACCTGTACAAATTCTTTTTCTTCTTATTATTATTATTATTACTATTGCTGTTTTCATTACCTCGAGTTTTTCAGTCTTCTCCAACGAAGAACTCTTATCAACGTTAGGACCAATGTTGACCTTTATACCCGATGTCCTACCTAATATCTGCTCACGTTTAGATTTGATATAATTTTTGGTGTAACGTCTTAGCCTAGCGATTTCCAATTGTTGATTCCTAATAACGTTGTCCTTTTCGCATAATACCTGCCTAATCGACTTTTGTTCTTGCTTCAGTCGTGCTTCTAGGATCAACAAAGCACGTAGAATCCGTGATAATTGTTGATCCCTTAAAGTCCTTTCCGATTCGTATAATGCTGTACGATTGTCCAATTCTCTCACCAAATCTCGACATCTTTTCGTCGCAGCTTTTAATGTTTCTTGAGTATGAGCTAATTCTTCCTTTAACGTTCGAACCTCGGTTTCCATCTGAAAGACATCGAAATATTTTTGTTTTCCCCCTTTTACTTTTTCTTTTCTTGTCAGAATTTAAATAAAATTAAATTGTTTTAAAATATTTGATCCGCGGATGAGATCTAGATCTAGAACATTTCTCAATAAATATTGATAACTCGCGGACCGATATTTGGGCCGTCGTTAAATTTTTAATGGGTCACGATCGATAGATATATATTCTACAATCAAAACGTGAAAATTGATTGATTCATTAGAAAGGCATCTTAAAAATTCACGTAAGATTTTCTTCGCGTTAATAATGCCGCTATAAAATTCCTATCCTTCGAAATAATACAGAGTGACTACGATCCTATATCGAGATTCTTTGAAATTGTATATCATAGAGAGAGAGAAAAAAAGAAAAAAAAGTTTTAGATCGCACAGCAAAAAATAAACGTTGATCCAACAGTTAGATAATTATGGATCAAATTTAAACAAATTTTTTTTATTATAATCTACGGATTAATCGAATATTTTCAATTCGAATTACATTATAGATTTCAAATCGTTCGATATCCGATGACTAATAATATTCGTCGATGACAGAACAACTTCTGTATAGTTGTTCTGTAAAGTGAATAGATCGGATACGTGTGAGAAACTACATTTGTGTCGCACGTGTGAACAAACGAGGAATTCACGAGAATCGAACACTTTCCTGCTACGGAATCCGGGCGAACGCTTACGTGGCAGGAAACGATCCACGAAACTTAACAACTGTTTGAGGTTTAATTACGAGAAGTATTTATGCGATATCTTATACGAAATATTTGATATATACATATATATATATATATATAAAACTCATCAACATTTACAAACAATATTTGATATGGAATCTAACGGTATTAACTAGATTCATCGTTCGATCCACTTTTCTATCAGCGAAAGTGCACAGCTGTTCGTTTTTTTCTGTTTTTTGTTTTGTTTTGGTTTTCCTTTTTTTTTTTTTTTTTTTTTTTTTCTAAACGATAAGCACATACGCACTTAATTTTAATTCGTTTTATTGTAAACGTAAACGTTGAAATTTATCACTAATCGTTACAGACATTAAGATCGTTAATTATGATATTTAATGTCCGTAATCGATTTGAGAAAAAAATCTTTTTGACGGTTGTTATAGATTACAATGTAAAAAAATTACTTGGAAAATTTTTTTCGATCGGCACCGGTGCAACCGACATGTGCATCATCAATGAATTTCGAAACGGGGTCATTCCCGATAAACGTCATAAGGCCATTGGTCAATTTTTCGAGGAAATCAGTGACGGTGCCAATGTGATATATATATATATATATATATATATATATATACACACATTCATTGACGATAGATACGTAATAAATATCTCACGTCGATACTTAATGTCATTTTAATTAACATTCCAAGTTATTGGTTTCTTTGATAGAATCAATGTAATCAGTTCTTAATGGATTAATAATTGTTAGTATCATGAACATGAACATACATCGAACATACGTGACATAATTTAATGAACAAATTGCTATGAGATGAAGAAAGAAAAAAAAAAAAAGAAAAGAAAAAGAGAGAAGATTCTTTGATAAGATAAAATTCGTACGTACTTGCATTATCATTTTTTCTTGCAATTAATTTTTTCTCAAAGCTAAGCATACGTACGAAGAAAAAAGAAAGGACGAAAGAAAGAAACAAAACAAAAAAAGAAAAAAAAAAAAAAAAGAGAAAAAAGAAAAAACGATCAATCGTAAAATTTCTTCATTCAGCCTGTAAAAAATATATTGTATTCTTCTCTTTACCTTTTCTTTTTTTTTTTTTGTTTTTTGTTTTTTCTTTTGTTCGTTTCTTCCTTAACGAAGAAGAAGTTCTCATTCGAACGGACAAATCTTTTCTCTTCTTTTTATACGAACGATATCGTTCTCGTAAAAAAATTCGAAAATCATCACCCACCCAAAAAGCTCGAAAACGTATATATACGACAAAAGATTATCATCGAAAAGGTTCGTTCTCACTGTTAAATAAGGATAACAAAAGAAACACACTTTTCGATCACATTAAAGCGTTCGAAGTTTCGTAGAAAAGGAACACTATTGGACGGGGGTTTTAGTTGCTTGCTTGCTTGCTTGTTTGCTTGCTCACCTCGATAGGAAAATATCAAAATGATGATCGGCGGAAACAACAACCGCGTTCGGTCGCGCTTGTCGATCGAGTTTCATCCGATTTCGAAGCGACATGACATTCTGCCGACGGCACTCGTCCTCGGAACATTCGTCGCGAGTTGTCTCCTTCGGCCTCGGAGACCACGAGAGCGAGCACACGAGCACGAGCACTAAAACACGAGTGAGAGCGAGCGAGCGAGCGAGCGAACGAGAGAGAGAGAGAGAGAGAGAGAGAGAGAGAGAGAAAGAAAGAAAGAGAGGGGAGAAAGAAAGAGAGAGAGAGGGGGGGGAGAAAGCGAAAGATAGGACGCCGGTTGGTTTATCCAACGAAACACGAAGGTCCTCGAGGATAGCCGAAGTTCGTCGAAACTCGTCGAATGTAGAATAAGACGAACGATATCTTTAAGTTTTACGTGTAATTCACACGTACGCAAGCACGCATCACGTATGTACATAAGTACGTAACAATCAACAGGACACTCGAAACAAATTATATACCCTTTATATTCTTTGTCTTTTTCTTTATTTATCTTTATCTTAATCTCTTTCTCTCTTTCTCTCTTTCTCTCTTTCTCTCTCTCTTTCTCTCTCTGTCTATTTTCGTTTTTTATTTCTTTTAAAGTCTTAACTCGACCGCTGCTACTGCCGGTGCTGACATATTCTTTGTCTTTGGCGCAGGCGCGCACGCGAGTCCTAGCGAAATAAGGGGAGAGAGAGAGAGAGAGAGAGAGAGAGAGAGAGAGAGAGAGAGAGAGAGAGAGAGAGAGAGAGAGAGAGAACAAGAGAGAGAGAGAGAGACGAATACGAACGAAAAACGACGAAATCACACGAATCCTGTCGAGAAACTGTTCGGGACTCGCTCGCGCGACCAGTCGACGCGCATACTCCCTCGAAAGAGTTAGGAGTGGGGTCTGTGACGGAGTGGGGTAGGGTTGTGAGACTAGGTAAGTCGTATGGGGAAGGGAGGGGATACCGAGGGACGCGGCGAGCAGCGATAAAGGCCAGCAGAGAGGTGAGACGACTGCACGCGCGGTTAGGCGAGGCCAGCAGCCTAAGTTGCTGTTGTGTACAGTAGCGGATAGAGAAATGGCTCGAGAATTCATTCGTGTAATTCCTATATTAAATCGGGAATTTATCTTTCCTTTTTTCATTTTGTCACTTCTCATCATTCTCTTTTTAATATTAAATCACAGTTATAAATATCATCGTATATTGCAATAATACATGTATAATTTTTTTTTCTTTTTTTTTTTTTTTTTTTTTTTTCTTTTAAAATTTTTTTAATATTATCGTCCTTCGTCGAAATTTTTTCCTAGCAATATTGAGATTTAGATACATCGATTCAATCGATTTTTCCTCGTAATCTTTATTGTTTCCTTACGAAAGTAGAAACGAACAGATTTTTGTTTTTATTTTTTTCTTTCTTTCTTTTTTTTTTTCCAAATATAAAATAATAAAGAGGAAATTTGATCGATGGGAAAAAGTTTCCATACTATCATACACATATAGGACATTTTTGTTGAACGCTGTACGGTTCTGTTAGGCGGTATAGTTTGGCCTGGCTTGGCCTGGTATACTTTTGATACAGTCGTCGTCGTCGTCGTCGTCGTCATCGTCGTTGTTGTTTGTCTCGTCTTCACTTGCTTCTTCCTTACTTTCTTTCTTTCTTTCTTTCTTTCTTTCTTTCTTTCTTTCTTTCTTTCTTTCATTCTTCCTTCCTTCGTTTCTTTCTTTCTTTCGAGAACGATGTCGTACGCTCAACATCGTTGCAAAATAAAAACGATAATAGGGACTCTTCAATCGTCTCATAACAATCGTTCCTAATGCAAATTCGGTTCTCCTCGATATAAACGTCCTCGGTGTATTTGAATTGCACCATCGTCGATGGTAATCTTTATGAACAACACATATCGGTACATCCGGTTTATTTACTACACCTAATATGCGTCGTGTGTCGGATTAGCTTCCTTGTTATATAGTCTACACGTTAAATGCATGCATACTGTTTTTTTTTTTTTTTTTTTTTTTTTTTTTTTTTATTAGGGAGATCTAACGTTCCTTTAAACTCTCTGCAAATGATATCTATATATTACATAGATATTATTTGATATAAAAATTACAAAATGACGAATCAATGAAAGAAAATTTTAATTGTTACGCTTTTAATCATTTCTATTATATATAGATATATTGTATGCGTAAAGAAAGATTTATACGTTATTATATGATTACAAGATAACATTAGCTAATCTCTGATATATGTATGAAAACAAATAGGATAATAACTTTTCTTCGAATTCCTTTGGCTAGTATGTCAATATAAATATGAAAACAAATATCGGTATGTTACTCTTTCGTTTTTCTTTTTTTCTTTCTTTTTTTTGTTTTTTTTTTTTTTTTTTTTATCGAATTCCTTTAATTCGTGATATATTTATTTTCTTTACTCCATCTCACCTCGTCTCACTCGTACGTATTACATATATATATTTTTTCAAAGTTATCATATAGTAAACGTTTTCTGTATTTGTTTATTAAAAGATTATTCCTTATTTGTTAGCTATGTACATATAACGCGCAATGAATCTTGACTAAACTCGTAGAACTATTCGTTTGTTTTCTCTTTCTCCCTCTTTCTCTCTCTCTCTCTCTTTCTCTCTCTCTCTCTCTTTCTCTCTCTCTCTCTCTTTCTCTCTTTTTCTCTTTCCATGATAACGTCTCATCGATTTATTAACTCCGTTACCTTAGAAACTCGTTGCTCGTAAGATTCCAGTCTCTTAATATGGAATTTGTAGCCGATAACCGTTATCATGATGCACGAATAGCTTAGTTGGTGAACAATAGTAGAGAAAACAAGAGAGAGAGAGAGAGAGAGAGAGAGAGAGAGAGAGAAAGAAAGAGAGAGAAAATGAGAGCAAAAAGAAGGGGGAAGGAAAGCTTACCGCCTGCGTGTAATTGAGCCAAAGCTTCGAATCGATTTTCTTTCTGCACGACATCCTTGATAAAATTTTGTTATTTTCCTTTTTCCTCTCCTTCGAACGTTCACACACAAACACCTCCGCTCGAGTTGTTCTTCATAACGAATGTTTCTCTATAATCGAAATTTTATTTTAACGCACAACACAATGATTTCGTTTAGTTACGTTACATTTCGTTTTATTTCGACTTTGACCGTCCTTTCGAATACGTAATAAAATCGATAAGAAATTTAGTGACAATATCGAAACACAATACCGTATACGTGCACACACATACACACACAAATACGTAAAAACATACATATGTGTAAATATATATATATATATATAAAATATCTTTTTTATTTTTTCCATTATTTTCAATCTTTGATAGATAAAATAGACAGAAACGAGCTGGCAATGGTGGCCTCTTGTAGTAGTTTCATGGTCAATTCGTGCTGCACGATCTCAGAAGGGTAAAAGATCGACGGGTCCGATAATTTCAATGGATCGTCGATAAACTTTGCGCTTCCAATATTCTCTAATCTTAACCCATTCCCCGGTGGTTGTTATCGTTTACTTTAAAAAAGAAAGAAAGAAAGAAAGAAAGAAAAAAAAAACAAAATAAAGAAAGGAAAAGAAGAACAAGAAGAAGTAGAAAACAGAAACAAAATTCTTTTTTTAATTAAAGATTAGAAAAAGCATTGGAAAAGAAAATAAATGAATAAAAAGAAAGCTTTTAAATTAAATGATTCGGACATAGGAATTTTTAAGAATTAGAAAGAGGATTTATAAGGACAAAAAAAAATCAGTAATTTATGAGGATATACCGTGATACGTGATTTTATATAAGTAGACATATATGAAAATGAAAAAGAGGGAGAGAGAGAGAGAGAGATAAAGAGAGAGATTGAGAGAAGCTTTGATTCTCTAGATACTATATATATATATATATATACATTACATTTTATGTATTTGAGGAAACAAATAGATTTGACAATTTTACTACGATCTCGAAGAAACAGATGATGTTCTCTCATTCTCTCCCTCTCTCTCTCTCTCGCATTGCAATGTTAAAAGCTAATTTACAAGGAAGGTCGTCGTGACTCCCAAGAGATACTTCGGTTATGTTCTTGGCGCGCACTTTGGTGTTAATTGGCTAGAATTAATTAGTAACAGGAACGATACGAAAGATGATGTAGCAGTGGTTATCGCGCTCGTCTAATGGAATTCTCAACTTCTTATTTATTTATTTATTTATTTTCTTTCTTTTTTTCTTTCTTTCTAATATATATATATAGGTATTATCACGAGAAATCATTTACGAGTTTGTTCCACAATAATCGATATCATTGAACTTATATATATATATATATATATATATATATATATATATATATATATATATATATTATGCGTGTAGAGTGGTCATTGAATCATTATTAAGAATCCTGTTACATGATCCAAAACTTAATTGATTATCTTTAAATGATTAAAGGAATATAAATATCTACATTTTTTGATTTCGTTCGAACAATACTTTGCGTATGTACGTACGTGTGTGTATGTGTGTGCGTGTGTATATATATACATATATATATATATATATATGTATATACATATTTTTTTTTTTTTATTACATATCATACGTTATCCATTATGTCTACACGTATCACTCGATCGATGACATTACTATGAACACGATGATTCAGTGATTAATAATAATTCTTCCTTTTCCTTTTCTATACCGAGGCGAGATAAAAAATTTTTGTCACTGTCACCTTCGATAAATCGATATACAAATCAAAGTAACTATCATTCGAATAGGAACACAAAGTGAGACTAATACACGATCTACGAAGAGAAACATCGTACTGTTCGTCCTCGTCTGACCCGTCACTTTCCTTATCTCCTTAGTCTCCAATAAGATAAGGATAAAGTTGCTCGTTGCTGACGTTAGAGTTCTCTTTTAATCTCAATCTTTTTTCTCTCTCTCTTTCTCTCTCTCTCTCATATACACACACACACTTACTCACACACACACACACAATTTCTCTCTCTCTCTCTCTCTCTCTCTGTCTCAAAAATCGTATATTTTCTTTTTATAATCTTTAGTTTCGTCGTTTTTAATATTTACGAATCCCATCATTCTATTTCAAGGTAATACGGTCGTCGAGTGTTCGAGTAGATCAAGGATCTATAGGATCGAATGTACTAACCGAGAATCGTTGACTATCCGTCTTTTTAATCCTCCATTGTATTTATAAAACGATATCACAAACGTACATATGTACACAGTAACATATGGCCGACGGTTGGGAGAAGAAAGAAGAATAATCGATAGAGTTTCCTGATAACGGCGTACAACGTGACTGAAAATTGTCTCGGCTGTTTTGTTACTTATGTATGTATATATGTATGTATGTATGTATGTATGTATGTATGTTGTAAGTACATACGATCGTGTTCTAACCATCGTTTAAAGGAAGGAAATACGTAACCGCAATGAAAATGACGACGTTGCCACGACTTATAATAAACAATGAATTAAGTTCAAGTATGAAACTCTATTAAATTTATTTATGTATACTTATGTATTTATTTATGTATATACTTATGTATACTATGTATTTATTTATTTATTTATATATGTACGTGTGTATGTATATACATATGTATGTATGTATATGTAACACAAGTCAGAAAGATAAACAACGCTCGTGGAAATTTTTGGTTTTGTGATGTGTGTTTTATTTAATGTCGAATAATCATTTCTTTTTTCTTTCTTTTTTTTCTCTCTTTTTTTTTTTTTTTTTTTTTTTTTTTACACACCGACACACCTATAAAATTTCAAGGGGACGATAATCACCATGAAGTTCTCAGGAAATTTTATAGTCCATTAAACAAAAAAAAAAAAAAAAAAAAAAAAAAAAAAAAAAGGCATAAATTATTAAATCTTTTCTTCTTTTTTTTTGTTTTGTTTTCTTGCGTTTTCTTTCGCAAAAATTTTTCCATCAAGAATAAAACCATGCCATTTTCATCATCGCCTTATTATCTAGTTATGCTTTTTAATGTTCCCTTGAATACACATCTTATTTCTTGCGCAATGATCAATGACAGTAGGTGGTTTTATTTTTAAAATTCCGATGGATCTTGTGTACGCATAATAATCTTCCTCCACATAAACGATCGCACGTCAAAGAGAAGACAAAGATTCTTGTGTCCCGTATATGTATATAACCGTAAATATTAACGATACTGGGTCAATGAAAATATCAAGATGCTTATGTTAAATCTCTCTCTCTCTCTCTCTCTCTCTCTCTCTCTCTCTCTCTCTCTCTCTCTCTCTCTCTCTCTCTCTCTCTCTCTTTCTTCTCTTTTTATCTATCTCCATATCTTTCTTTGTGGGAAATGTCAAGAAGAAGATAAGCTAAAATACGTAAAGATTATTTTCATCTTGTTTGATATATGATAATGAGTACAAAATAAAACGAACGGAATTTTCTTTAATAAACAAAAGTAACAAAGAATATTATAAAAAAAAAAATAAAAAAGGGAAAACTTGTTGATACATATATATTTCATTTACAATGAACGAATCTCATTCTTTTCTTCGTAAACTATTGTGATAATCTGTGAAAACGATTCGTCTATGCGGAGGTAACTAAAAATGATTATCAAGTTAACTAGCTAACAATTTCTTTACGTGTCACGCTTTCTTGAATTTCTTAGTTTCTCAGAGACAACACAATTTTAGTATAATCGTCATCATCAAAAATATACTATATATATATATATATATATATTTACAACGCGTTTTATCTATTTACGAGAAAAATAAAATGAATGCATAAAAGAAACTTTAATCGATATTAAAGATATCAATTCAAGATATACATAGATATATGAAGAGATAAAACTATCGTTTAAACTGGGACATGGTCAATTTTACAGGCGACGTTTCCCGATGGATTTTCCTTAAAGAAAAACGAAAAAAAGAAAACAATATATATATATAAAAATATATATGTAATACAAAATACAATTAATGAATTTTATTAACAATGTAAAAAAGATAAAATATTAAAACAAGACAACGATCATCATTATCCATATCATATTTGTTCCATTTGCAGAGTCATTAATCTCTCCCAGATATTTATTTTAATTAAATGATTATAATATCATTTAAATTTTAACGTACGTATATCGGATAAATAAAAATAACTAATGATCGATGATTTATTAGTTTAATATCAGATAGAATGGAATGTGCCAACTATAAAGGAATATTAAGACGTCGGCCGACCTACTTCTTTCATAAAATCGAACACAAACTACATTAAATTTTATTCGCATATGCATTCTCATGTATGTTGGATGTATATATATATACATATATATATATATATACATATATATATATATATACATATATATGTATTTATGTAGTTACATATTTTATTTAAACGAATTCGACAAAAATGTGAAACTTTCGAAGAAAGTTCAAGGCGGATTTAAACGAACATATGTGTTATAAGCGAAATATAACGCGTGTTTATATGCAAGCTACCTTTTCTCGCTAGATTATTATATCCATGCTTAGAGAGTGGGAGACGCAGAGGAAGAGGGAAATAGTGACGCAGCAGAGCGTGGAGAACGCACGACAAAAATACGTACGACGGACCTAGTTTTCGCAATTACAACCGATATGGAGCGAAAGTCACTCCTTGTTATTTCTTTCTTCCTTTCTTTCTTTCTTCCTTTCTTTTTTTAGTTTCTATTCTATTTTCTAATAAATAATATTCGTGTTTATGTGGATATCTAAGTATAAATGAACCTCTTATAACAAGTAAAATTTGTAACGTCATTTTATATATATATATATATATATATATATATATATATACATATATATACATATATGAAATATTCTATATTTGGCGAAAGTAAGAAGAAAAGAAATGAAAAAAGAAATTGAAAAAAAAAAAAAGAAAAATAATAATAATAGTAATAATAATTTTCAAAATTCGTCATAGACAATTAAATCTAAACTAACATAAATCAAATTTTAAACATTAATCTATCTTTACATTTACACATTTCACTTGTAAATAATAATAAAAGTTAAATGATATGCATGTACTGATAATACTAATAATGATAGAAAAGATAAAAAAAAAAAAAAAAAAAAAGAAGAAGAAGAAAGAAAAAGAAAAATGAAAGGAAATAAGACGAATGATAGCAAATATTTAATTGAAAAGAAATTAATCGTCTGTGTGACTGATTAAAATATATTTTATTGCACCTTATGCGATTATTTAAATCAGCATATAAATCTATTAATCGGATATTTACCTGGATAACGAAAAATAGACTAGTTTTTCTATTTTCTTTACTTCTTTTTCTTTTCTTTCTTTTTTTTTTTTTTGCTGACATACCCATAAACCATTATCATATCTTAAGATTTAACGTAACCATCACACTTTGAAATTTCTCTTTTAGATCATTCGAAGATCTCTCGAGATACGATCTTGAAATTATCATTTTTCTCGTAAGTCCGTGCATTTATATATATATATATGTGTGTGTGTGTGTGTGTGTGTGTGTGTGTGTGTACATGTGTGTGTATTATACACCGATGACGCATGAATGGCGCGAAATTCACGCTATTACTTTACGCACGTGCCATTCGTATTTCTGTTCTCCGGATACACGCGTGGTATTACGTCTGCGCCAGTCGACGACGACGACGACGGCGAAGACGACGACGACGACGACGACAAAGACGACAAAAACGACGACGGAAGAGGATAATGACGGTATCAACGACGATGAAACGACGCGTCGCACGACGCGCGTCTTTTTGGTACTATAGTTTTGCGTGTACACCTTCTTCTCACTTTGCTTGCCTTGTTAAAGCGTTGACTGCCATAGTGATGATCGTCCATGATCATTCAACGAAATATACGGTCCTTATATACCGTCAATAATAATTTGCTTTGGATGATGATCGATATTATCGATATTTATTATTATTTAATTTTCGTTCAATTAATTAATAAATAATAAATTAATCACAAATCGAACGTCATAGGAATAAGAAAAATCTTTTTAACAATTTCTATTTCATAATTTTTCATTCAATAATTATTAGAGAAATTTTGTTATAATTTTATCCTTTTTCTTTTTATAGAAATATATATATATATATATAAAATAATTATTTATATAATAATTGTCGTAACTTGACATAATAATTGCCGATAAGAGAATAAATTGAAAAGGTGATATTATTCAAATACAAATTATAGTTTTACTATATAACTTGTAAAAAAGAAAAACTTATGTAAAACTTACTATTTACATTTTCTTTTTTTTTTCTTTCTTTTTTTGTTTTTCCATTTTTCGATATCTCTTTCAAAAGAAACAAGTTTTCTATTTACGACTTACGATCAAGTATAAGTATACATCGAAAGAAATGATTGAAGATCGAAGAAATTAATGATAAAATGGAGAAGAAAAAAAAAACAAAAAGAAATAAATAAAAAAATATGACATGGAAGGAGAGTATCGGAATCGAGTATGGGGCCAACGCCCTTGAACTCGATCGCCGTGACAATAGAGAACGTTTGCGCATATATTTCTTCGAAAGTCTCTGCCGCCGTCCGGTTTCGCGCGCGCGTAGGCGTCTCTTTGTTCCGCAAATGTGTGCGCGCGGTCTAGTATTATCTACGGCCAACACTATGCATATATGTATTTACATATAGATACACATAGACAGATAGATAGAGAAAGAAAGAGAGAGAGAGATATATATATATATATAGATGCAGTACTACGAGGTACTATCCGGTTTCACTCAGAAATCTGTGCTTTTGCATAACGCGAATTAGATCATTGTATATTAGGCTATTACGTTGCACAAACGATGAGACGCCATTGGATGCAATTACATCTTTATGCCATGAGATACTTGAATGATGTTGGCTTTAACGTTACCATGATATTTTATTATTGCGATAGAAATTGTGAAAACAATAGAGGTAATAAAATGAAATTTGTATAAAAATTAATTCATCCTTAATTCCATTGTTACCGTTACATAAATACATAAAATAATGGATATTAATTGGGAAACTTTTCACGGAGTTTCTTCAGGCTTCATTATTTATAAATGATTTTATTATCGTTATTAACTTGTTGTACATACGCATAATGTCTATGTAACAAGAATTATTAATGAAGAGAATAAAGAGATAAAATAAGATAGAAAAAATTTCAATCCCCAAGAGAATACTTACATCATAATGATGTAATGATTCAGATAATTCTAAAAAAGAAAAAAAAAATAATAATAATAATAATAATATTGTAAACCTGGCTCCATTAAAAAGTTGTGAAAAATTCAAAAATGGTGACAGCTTAAAAATCTATTAGTATTAATTTTGCGCAGAGAATTCTAAAAAAAAAAAAAAAAAAAGAAGAAAAGACAAGAGAGAGAAGAAAAAAAATTAAAAATAATTAAAAAAATTACTATCATAAGTCTTGCTTGGGATATGTCGAAATATAAAAAAATCAAAAGACTATAACGAACCGATAGATTCGAAAAAAAACTTTAGAACGATCAAGATACGAATTCTTAAATGAGTTCATTTTATTGTTGCAAGAGAGAGAGAGAGAGAGAGAGAGAGAGAGAGGAAAAGAAAGAGAGAAATAGAAAGAAAAAGAGTGAGAAAGAGAACCCTCTCTCTAATTCTCCATCTCTCTTAGAAGGTCGAGAGACAAACGATTTGCGCAAACGTCTTGATCGCTACTCTACCAGGCTAACAGAAGTTGGTAGCATGAGTATAAGCTCACACACGGTTATACTACTGCGTTATACTACTCGTGATCGAACGAGC